AATATTTTATAATAATATATTGTATATAATGTATATAATATACTATATAATATTATATAATATATAATTATATGTTATATATACAATATATTCTATATACTATATATAATTATATATATATATACATATAAAATATATAGTATATACATATAATGTGTATATGTATTTATTATATACAGTTATATCGACATTTTATATTTATATATACACGTGAGTATATATTTATATATATAATATTTTGTATCTCTTGGGTCTGTTTTAAAGCGGATGTATCAAGGGAGACATTCAATGGGAGCTAGAGCTGCTGTTAATGTGTTTCTCTCCTTTCTTCCCACAGGTTTATGTGTTCTCAATTACCCAACCAGGTTCTGAAGAGCATCAGTATCATTGACAGCCCAGGCATTCTCTCTGGAGAGAAACAGCGCATCAGCAGAGGTGAGTTGCAGGAGTTACCAATAACCAATTTCATTAGCTTTAATTCTTCTATACTGAGCCATTATTCTAATCTATTTGACATGTATTTTAGTGGCATTGAGCAGTGCAGTTTCTAATACTTTCTCAACATAAGGTCCCTTAAAACATGTCTTAAAGATAGAAATAGTGTTTGCAAATTATTCCATTAAAAACTGATGATGTTCAAACCTCTTCTGCTACTATGACTGCAATTAATCTTCAGATGGTTATGTTTGCATGGGCTTTTGATTAATTAGTGATTCATTTCTTCTGAGAGAAAGCCTAATTTTCATCATTTTAATTTCTTTCCACTAAGTAATAATAAATAAGCTGTTAGGCTTAATATTGAAAATCATGAATGAAAGAATGTTTGATAATAGCTATAACTCTTCAGGCTGGTTATGTTTAAAAGTTGAAGAATGTAGTCTATAAATAAGCTGTTCTTACACTAGCAACAGTGGCTACAGTTGCTTATAATATTGCTCAGTAATGTCATAACATAATTTTCACTCATAGGACAAAGAGTTAAGGTAGCAGGAAAAAGTAGTAGTGAGACCTGGGAGGGCCAGGAGACTGAGGCACTGGGAGTGCCCCAATGTTAGGAAAAAGGGTAGAGCAAAGGAGTTGCTCATCTGTTGGGAGCCTTTGCTCCTGGGAATTTCTTCTCTGTGAATATCCTTGAATATCTGATATTCATGAGTTTTTCTCCCTTTGCTGAACGAAAAACTCTCCACTGACGTGTCATCTTCTGTAATATCCAAGCTGTCATCATTATTGAAGACTACTATTGAATAAATTGTTTTTTAAATGCGTCGGATCTAGAAGCTCCTGTCTTACTGATAGCCTGTGTTATTAGTGTGACAGTGTGAATCTATGGGTTTTTTTTTTTTTTTTTCCAAACAACACAAAAATAGAAAACCCAGATAGTGCCTTAAAGTTGAATTTTAAAAGTTTATTACTAAGAATGCAAAATCAAGTACAAAAAAGAACAATTCAGTTGTCAGAAGGAAAAAAAAGCCTATGTGTGATATTTGTCTCAGTTGTACATATCAAGTAAGCTGCATGGTACTTTTTGTTCTGATGCTACTGGACTTTTCTGTGCTTGGCCGTTTAACTATAATGTATTCGTAGGCATAAAGTTATGCTTTAAGTCCAACTAAAAGTGTAAATAGTGCAGAAACTTGAAGGTAAGACATCAAAAATATAAAGTAAAAAAATGCAAAAAAAAATGAATGAATTCTTGACCTTAGTTTATTAGGTCTGATAGCTGTGGATCCTGTGAGATTCCCTCTCCCTTTGGATTTTCCACTCTGCTCATGCTGTATGGTTGTAAACTGAGTTGAACCTATGGCTGGTCTTTGTTTCAAGTGGTTTATCTGTGTGCTATTTTTGGGTATTTCCTATATTGTGAATTATGCTTCTTTTAAAATTCTACCAAAAAGACCATTTATATAAGTGCTTATGAAATTTGCCTGTCCTTAAGAAGCTATTAAAACAGCATCATGCAAGTCATTTTTGCTCAGTTTTTTCAGTTGTTTTTTAAGTGCAGTTAGAGGATTTTACAGTTTGTTACAAACTGTAGCCATCCACTACCTAACGTACTGTACTGCCCTCAGTTTTCAGACTTTTACTTAGGGAACGCAAACGTGTGCCTTCCGTGCGGGAAGGGAAGGAATGACTTCTTTAACCTGTACCACATCTGGGATTTCCTAAGAAAGTCCTGGAATGAGCTCAATATATGGCAGTTGTGCAACTGCAGTCTTCAGTTTAAATTGCATTGACAGAATAAGAAACTAGCTTTTCTTAATAATACTGATTGAAACAGTAAAAATAACAACTCAGAGCTATTAGCACAGCCAGTTTTTGATTTTTGGTTCCTATATTGTGAATTATGCTTCTTTTTAAATAATATTAAAATTCTACCAAAAAGGACCATTTTTATAAGTGTTTATGAAATTTGTCTGTCCTTAAGAAACTATTTAAACAGCATCATGCAAGTCATTTTTGCTCAGTTTTTTCAGTTGTTTTTTAAGTGCAGTTAGAGGATTTTACAGTTTGTTACAAATTGTGGCCAGAATAAGAAACTAGCTTTTCTTAATAATACTGATTGAAACAGTAAAAATAACAACTCAGAGCTATTAGCACAGCCAGTTTTTGATTTTTGGTTTTCTTCAGACTGTAACCAAAGCCATATTTAACTTGCTTGATAAAATGGTCTACTAAATGTTTCAGCATTCTCCTTTTTTATTTAGTGTCTGCATGTCTGTCCTGTTCATTGCTCATGTAGTCAGGTGAAACATTCATAGTGGAGAGAGTGATACATTTTCATACACGGACTAAAATTGGTTGCCTGGAAGATATGAGCAATGTAAGTGCTCTACATTGGTGCAAGCAAAGGCTTCAATGTTGCTAAACCAAATGGGCAAAACAAATACTGCAGCTTGACACATGCAATTTGAAACAAAAATGACCCTCATATAACAAATATTCATAAGTTGTTAAAAATCTTCTCATATGCTCATAAAAGGGTAAGTCTTGGTTTAGAGTCTAATAAAATCAAAGGTAGTGTTAAATCTCATATTTCTGCTTCTCTGTTTAGGATTCCAAGTTACTCCCCCCCAAAAAAAAAAGAAAAAGAAAAAGAAAAAGTTAATCTTATCATTCTCTGCTTCATCACTTAAATTAAGGGAGAAAGGTGGCTGGCAGCCATTAGGTATTTTCTGCCACTGTATTAAAAGTATGGAAGTAAAATAAAATACACAGACAGTTAGAGTATCATGCCAATTGGTGACCAAAAGAGCAATGAACAATGTGGTTAAAATTCTACACCTTTGTGGCTGGCCTAAGAAACTCTAAGATTTCATTTGTTAAAATGATCAAAAACTTTTTCTTGATGGCCTATGCCTTATCATTTGCTTTTATGACCTAGTTGTTCCTGCCCTTTGATATGGTAAACATTCACCAGAAATGACAGTGCTCAGTCACAGCTATATGCTGTTTAGCTTTAACCTTGAGTCATAAATTAGGTTTGGGGAGCCAGCCAGGGCACTGTGTTCTGTGCTGCAGGTTTGCAGGGCAGACCAGCATGCACTGAGCAACTGCAGTTGAGTACAAGAATTACTGCATGTTCTTCCAGTTGATAATACTGTGCTCACCCTTACGCTTTTTAAATTTTGCATGGTCAGATACACTTCCTGTGTGTGACTTCCTGACTGCTTCTACAGTTCCAGTACAGATAATTTTGTGAAGTACAAATTTGACTCGTCTCGTGGTGCTGCACATTGCAAGGCCTATCTAAATTGCTTCCTGAAGGATTCAGACAGACAGCAATGTATTTATGCTACAACTTTAGTACATTTTGAACTTGACACAGTTTAAATTCCTTTTTAAGTCATTCAGTGTGCAAATACAATCAGGATTTTACAAGAGGGTTTCTGGAGTCCTTAAATGTACTCGTATAAAAAAAAATAAATTTCATAATGCTGTAGTGTATGTGACATTAAATAACACCTGATAAGTATTCTTAAATGCTTTCTATTCTTTGTGCTATTAGTTTTTGTTCATCTATTTTCTCGTAGAGGAGGAGGTTTGGTAGTTTCGGACAATGGTGAGCTCTGGTGTGCTGCCTACTGTTCGATTCATGATTTAGTGTCAGAATGACTGTCCTCTAGGCCAGGCCCTGATGTTTTACGGTAAATGTCGATGAACACGGGTAGGGAAGGAAACTCCCCTGTCTCATGGTTGTCTCCTCAAGATATAAATGGTAATTGAAACCCAAACGGAACGGTTTTGAGAAGCATGTGGAAAGAGCACAGAGGAAAATGTAGAATATTAGCCTGTGTTTTGGCATTATTTAAGTACAAGTAACTTTCTGAGTTCAGTTTGGTTTGTGAAATGTAGTTGTGGGCTAAATCAGGTAATATGCATAGTGCACGTTGTGTCAGGGTTCCCTGTGTGCTGGGATACAGTGTTTTCCCTCTAGGATGGGGCTGCCAAGAGTAGAACAGTAAGAGTGTTATCCGGGAGTGCTGCATCAAGACGGGTTTTCATTAGCCTTATTGGAAACTTCCCCCAGGGTAGGAGTGTTAATAAAAAATTGCATCTCTCTTTGTGGGACCAAGCTGCGTTTGAAAGACTGAGCTAGCTTAGATGTCTGCCTGTGGCCAAACCATGAGAAGAACAACATATTTGTGTAGGATAAAGGCTGCTCTCATCCAGGTCCAAAACATGTCACTGGACGGTGACATGGCACTGGACAGTACTGATGACCATGCTCTGCCCTCCCTGGCCTGATGGGGAAGGTGGGAACTGTTCTCGGGACGTGGAGGCAGCTTGTGGCTGTCTCCTCTGGAGCTGCCTCTGTTGCCGCTCCACCTGGGAAGCACAGGACACTGTTTCCCTCTGCTCTCAGTGCATGAATGGAGCCCGTCACGTTCTCTGGTTATTTTCCAAATTTAAAAAGCTTTAGTGGGCGGGATTAAGGCAAGCTGGAAAGTATTTACTTTAGGATGTGAAGGGAAAGTATGCTGTTGGTTTATGTGTTTATTAGTAACTGTTGCATAAAATTGTCCTGCACCTGTACAGCATGGATTGCATGGCTGTATCTGTGCGTATGGCCATGGCTGTCCTGAAGCTGCTACTTTGTGCCAGAGGAAAGCAGACCATCGTCCCTGTCCTCTGCTTTTGCAGAGCTGGAAACTCTGTGCAGCTGCTCTCGAGCTGCCATCTCTTCCACACTGTTTCATTCTCTCCGCCCTGGCAGCCCGCGTGCCGTGCCTGTCACTGACACCCACCAGGCGAGCGCCTTGGTGCCGGCATGAGCTCACTGCCTTCCTCCCCTGCCCGCGGCGAGCGCCCTGGCGTGGGCGCGAGGGCTGCTCGTGCCTCCCCGAGGGGCCCTTGCAAGTAGGTGCTGCAACACAAACAATAGGAACATCACTGGAGCTGGCAACGGGACACCGCGGGCTGAAATATTTAAGCACATATCACTTCCCTGTACTTCAGGTATTGTCTTGGGTCTGACCACTGAGAAAATACGTTCAATTCTGATGTCAAGTTTTCATTAGAATGAATGGGTTTTTATTGAAATTATTTTTAAGCTAGGCTTGTTCATAATTATTTCAACAAACTGGATAGTTTTCTAAAAGGAGATGCTTTATTAGTATTAAATTCATATGTAAGGTGAATTTATTAACATACAGTTGTTAAATATATAACACTAATATGTATATATTTACATATAACGGTTTTTATAAACTTAATAACTTTATTTATAAACCAATTTCCTTTTACATAAACCAAGTTCAGAAGAAAACGCAACATTCGTACAGTGTTCAAATTGCACTGTCCAGAGAAGTGACATATGAGATACCATTTCTCCCTTTCTTTCGTGCTATGTTTTTATAGAGCCAAATTGGAATTAATCATACTGGTTGTAAATGTTAGTGTGAAGTCAGATGAATTCTGTTTGCTTTGTACAGCTGTGCTCCTTGTGCCTTCTTTCCATCACTTGTTTGGTTCTTTTGAAACTATTCACAGAGAGGAGTGAGGGGCGAAAAATGTGAAAGGGGGAGAAACTGTGAAAAAAACAGAGCAGCATTATCTGGGAAGGGACTGGATTTTGCATTCCTTGCAAAGTAATCCTTTTAATGGGAAACGTTATGCTGGCTTTTTTTTTTTTTAATAGCCAGATCAGTCTGATCTGCATCCCAATTATAGCTTTCTTGCCTAGTCCTCCCTTTTGGTTAGGCATGCCTGCACTGAATCTTTAATGAAGTTGTGGGGATCTTTGGTGGGTTTTCTTGCATATTTTGTGCATATTTTGTTACTGTTAATTAGATTTATGGATTTAGTTTCATATGCTATTTGTCATTTTTAAACGAAGGATTTGAGGCTACGTTTACATGTGAGTAATCTAAGAGGGTTTTCTTTGGAGGCGTGGTGGGGAGGGGCTCTGAAGACCTATGTTATACTGTTACTCCTGGGAAATGATTGAGCATTGTGACAAGCTCACTAGTGACAACTGTCTTTGTTGTCAGCACTGAAACACATGTTACTGGAGGGCAAATCATAGATTCTCTTTGAGTTACTTTTCACCAGTCCTTGCTTTTTTTAGTTTATTTTTTAGCATTTTTTTTGGCCTTCTAGTGGGAGAAGAGGGGTGGAATATTGGCTCCCAGCTCACATGTTGCTATTCTTTACTCAAGCAAGATGAGTCATTTATATGCTAAGCCTAGTGCCACATCATTGGTGTGATGTTCTGTGGATTAAATGTGTCACTTCAGAAGGATTTCCTGTGTATTGTTTGTTGTGTAGATTAGGCTACCAGGTTACCACTTGGGTTTATAAAGCATTCAGACAGATGCTACAAATAGGCTTTTCTTTAGAGCATCAGAAAGAGCCTGTTTTAAGTAATTGGAGAGGTCACTGATCTGCTCTGTGGCACTGTAACCTGTCACATCTTGGAACTATCCAGAGTGCAGATTGCATGGAAATTGAATTTGCGTTTACTGTGGCAGAGATATTGCCATGCAAAGAGATAAGAAAATTAAATGGTTTTAAAATGTAGATATTATTTTCTGATTTTTGATTTTAGCTGGTGTGCTGCCCCTCCATGGTTTTTCTAGTTAATACAGATTTACAGTGATACTGAGGTGGGCCCACATTAGCAGCAAGAAAGAGAGTTTGTGCTGCTGAGCCTCACAAAGCTACTTATCTGGGGCTCGGTGCTACAGTCACAAGCTCAGGGAAGGCTGTGAGACAGTAACCCCCAGCATGCAGAAGACAGTGAGATGAATGGCAGGGTTGAGGAAAAGGAAGATGGAGAGTGATAAAAACAGTAAGTGATAATAAGCCACACCTGTCTAAGAAAATAGAGGGTACAGTTGTCCTGAAATCATTGTCTGCAGACATTCTCCCCCTGCTGCTCTCTCCCTGCTGTGCCCCAGATAAATACTATATTTTTATGGTTTTCTACCCCCAACCCTACTTTATTTGAGACTCACTGCTTTAACTGGTAGAATTGTAATAGTGATTTTTTTCACTGGTGTTTCATTCTTCAGGTTATGACTTCTGTCAAGTCCTCCAATGGTTTGCTGAAAGGGTTGACCGTATCATCCTGCTTTTTGATGCCCATAAGCTGGATATATCTGATGAATTTTCAGAGGCTATTAAGTCATTCCGGGGCCAGGACGACAAGATTCGAGTGGTGCTCAATAAGGCTGACCAAGTAGACACGCAGCAGCTGATGAGAGTCTATGGTGCGCTCATGTGGTCCCTGGGAAAGGTGATCAACACTCCAGAGGTGCTGCGAGTCTACATTGGCTCCTTCTGGGCCCATCCCCTTCAAAACACAGAGAATCGAAGACTCTTTGAGGCAGAGGCACAGGATCTTTTCAAGGACATCCAGAGTCTCCCGCAAAAGGCTGCTGTGCGGAAACTCAATGATCTCATAAAGAGAGCAAGACTTGCAAAGGTAAGAAAGCTGAAGCTACCTGAATAAGCAATCTTTGCCATCTGTTCATTTTAATTGTAGTAGGATGCCTCCCTAACCTTTAGAGAAGGGATTTGATGCCTTTGTGGCCAATAAAGCTATAGTTTGCTTGACAGAAGGCTGAGGGTTTTTACCCTGTACAGTGAGCTGAATTTACTACTATTCGAAACTAATTCACTTTGTTTTTTAACAACAATGAGTATGTACAGAGTTTAAAAAGGGAGGGTGGCGGGGAAAAAAAAAAAACCTGCAATAAGACCAAAAAAAAAAAAAAAAAAGGTCAAGTGAACTACCTTTCCAGTGAAGATTACCTGAACACTAAAACCTCAAAAAGTTAATTTTCTTCCCTCTAGCCTTCCATCTGATCATTTATATTTTTAATCCATCAGAACACACTTTGAAGCCATTAGAGCAAACTGTTAGCTGGTTTCTGCAGAAAAATATTTTGACTAAATATTGTGTTAATTAAGTGATTCTTACTCTTAGTGAAAGTCACATATGCAGGTACTATGAGAGGTGTTTTGTATGTTTGTTGAAACTACCTCTAAATAAAAAGTATTCTCTCAGATTACATTTTCTTCCTTTCCAGTCCCAGAGCCAGGGCCTGAGTCTCTCTTTGGCAATATGGATTTTGTATCATACAGGAAAAATCCATTTCATTGTCCCAAGCCTAAGTTCTATGTCCCTACAGTAGCTTACCTGCATCACTGATTTCCTCTTGTCTGCAGCTCTGGAAGAATGCTTGCCTTGTGTGTCATTTACAGTCCTAAGCCAAGGTGCACAGGCAGTCTCAGTGTGACAACACTGTGACTCTGTCCACAGCTGATTAGAGAAAATGTGTTTAATTTTTTTTATAGTTCTCTAGTTTTCTTAGATGAATAGTTGGATTTCACTTTATAGCTCTTCAGCCACCCAATTTTGATACTTATTCATAAAACCTTCTGATTAGATTTTAAACTAATCTTCAGAATCCCTGCTTAACAACATTAGCTACAGACGTCCTTACTTCTCATAACCAAACTAGAATAAGCTTAGGTTGCTGTCTGAAATGTTTCTTTACCTCTTTCTCTAATTCTGTAGCTAACAGTAGATCAGTAGATAAATACTGCCAAGCTGCTTGTTTTAAAAATAATAATAATAATGTTGCTGATGCAAGAATTACAATTTGTGACTTGGAAAACGGGAAAGAAGGAAAAAGAACCTCAGAATGATGACACATTTATTTTTTTTATTTTGTAGCCTGAGTTTTGGGGAAAACAGTAACAATTCCTTTTGATAAGGCAGTTTGATATCATGTTCCTGATACTACTGTGATAAATATTAAACTCTTATTGCCCTAATCTCAATCTGTTTTGTAGACATTGGTAGCTATCTTTTTTTTTTCATTCACTGCAATCATTTTGGAATGGCAGAGGTACTGGGGTACTTCACTTGATGCAAAATGGTAAAGGTCAATGTAAAATATAATGTTCGTAGAACATGCTGATAAAACAGCTACAGAAGGGTGATAAACTGTGTATCTGCAACGTAATCTTTCCCATGTCATCTTTCCACCTTCCGCACTGAACTTAAAGTGCTGATGCTCAGAAATCACCTTTAGTGTTGCCCAGCATTTACTTATTTGTCCAATTTCTGTATGATTCTGTTTGTTCTTCTTCAAAGCATGTACAAGAACCCAAAGTAAAGCAAGCTAGCTGTCCACTTGCTGTCAAATTTGGGTTTTAGCCTTTTTTTCTTCTTATTTTAAACTCACGTGACCTATTCTCCCATTTTGAAGATGGGAACTATTCTTGTCTTTAGGAAACATATGTGGATATTGCCGGTCTTAGATGACTGAGCATGCACATGCAAAACTATTAATGTTTGGAAGCTATAAACATGCTTTTTCTCTGTCTTTGCTGGAAGTATTATTTAAAATGTAAGTTTCATTAAAATTACTTCAAACTACTTATAAACTGTTAAAAATGCTTCTTGAATCCTTTGTCTGCCTTATAGTTAAATATCTTCCCCTATTTAGTGGTTCTGTGGATTTTTTTAAGGGTTTTATGCAGAAAGATTTTTTCATTGCAGAAATTTAAAAATTCATTGAAATGCATACACTTCTTTTTAGATATGAGGAAATCGTGTTGAATACCAACACATATACATATATATAAATATAATAATCATTCAGATTTGCGCAGCTATAGTGTTAAGTCTTCATCATAATGACTCCTCAGCTCAGTCTTGAAAATACTGAGTCATTTGCTTCTAAGGTTCTTGAGATGAGCAGAGCTAAACATTGCAGAACTATTTCTGGATCATGAAGTACTGTCCATACCTATCTGTGGAGACTGCCAGCGTTTCCCTTCGGTTCCCAAGTTAAGGACATTGATGCACCCATTCCTTACCATGATGATGCAGGCGTGTCTTATTTTGGTGGGTGATTTCCAAAAGTTTCTTGCAAGCTCTGGGAATGCTCACTGACTTTCTCAACAGTTATAATAAATACAAGACTTTTTTTTTTTCTATTAGAAGGCAGAAATGTTCCACTTTTATATAAGGGGTTTTCCTTGCCTTCTGCTTTAAGTGATTTTCTGTAATTTGCTATGTTGTGTGGCCCAAACTGCAATATTAAGTAAAGATAGTATTGCACAGGGTAGTCTGAATAAAATCTGAAGCTTGTGAATACTTTCTGCTATGAAGTCTGGCATACTTACGGATCTCAGGTTAGGGTAGGAATTCAAACGGTGAAGCAGAGAGATCAAAGGTAGAAGTCTAGATCTTAAGAGAAAAGTTTGCTGCACCCTTTTACTTAAAAGTAGAGAGGTGGTTTTTTTTGTTTGTTTTTTTGTTTGTTTGTTTGCTTGTTTTTTGTTTTTTTTTCCTCCTGTTTTTCAGTTGGCCTTTTAAGTAAGTTAGGAAAGGAGTGTGAACACAGTTTCCCTGTGAAGTATGTGTGTTTTTTGTGGTATTTTGCATGGTATTTTGCATGGTATTCTGCAGAACTTATGCAGAGTACCACGAAGCAAGTTCTGAGGTGTTTAGGAGGTGTTAAGTTTTGTACTCATCAACTTATCTGCATAATTCTGGTTTCTTTTTCTATGGCTGCTTTTTTTGTTGTTGTAGTTTCTCTTTCCCCACTCCTTCCAGTTTCAAATATTTAAACTATGCTTAAATAGTTATTAGATTTTAGTTGAGAAGGGAAAGTGGAACTTCTACTTTGGAAACAGGTACTTTTATATATATGTAAGTATGTGTATAAATATATATATATATATATATATTCTCTTGGTGAAGAAAGGCCTGAATTCTTTAAACATTTACATTGTTATAGGGTCACCTGACTTCTGAGCTCCTTCCTAGGATAAAGCTTAAGACAGTCTGTACTTCAAGTTGTCATAAACTTGAATTGCTTCTAAAAGAAGCGAACTCCTGTGTCCCTTTTCTTGTGCAGCATGAGTTTCTGCATCTGCACGAAGAGCTGCCTAAGTGAACTCCTGTGATTCACACAAGCAAGAGCAACACGCACATTTTAGATTCTTGACCAGATTGCTCTGTGGTCGTGCAGGTCTTGTTGGTCCAAGGGGATGGAAAGGTGATGAGGGGAAGACATGAGTGACTGAAGTGAGGATTGAAAAGAGGTGCAAGGTAGGATAGATCTGCACCTCTGGCAGTGCTGGACTATCTTGCTTATGGTATGTGGGTTACTAAAAGAGCTCTGAAAATATTAGTATGTTTTAGGTCTTGACAAACTAAATTAATGTCTTTCCTTATATGCTGCAGTGGCTCTGCTTTTCTCCTTCAGGCTTCACAAGGCAGCCGGGACATACTCTTATTACAGCGTGTTGAGTGCTCTGTCATCGTTTGGGGGCTGCATAAATATAGACTCTATGTACTGGTGTTTGTGGGAGTGAGTAGGAATGCAGTGTCATTGAAGTTAAATAGCCCTGTCACTTAACATACTTGGATTACTTGAGCCATAGCCCCATTCCTTCCTGCAATAACATGTCATAGTAAGGAAGGTGGGGTTACAAATTTCAGTCACCAGGATGAGTAGTCCAGTACGGCTTGACCTGGTTTGGAAGACCCTGATTTCATTTTCACTGCTGGTATTGATAAGGTATTGTAGATATTTCAAGTGTCCATTTATAAAGTTTCTGTAATTCCTTTGAGCAGAGATAAAGGACAGCTGCAAGCTGCACAAACTAGTTAATATCCATTCCTGTAATTGTACAGTATAAACCGTTTGGTAAATGCAAATATCTCTGTGGCCCTTGCAGCATAGCATTTTGGACTGGTCTAACTTAGTTGTTCCACAGTGGTAGATAACACATTGTCCTTGAGCTGATTTATGGAACACATTCTTTCTCTTTTTATGGCCTGGATAGTAAGTTTAGATAAGCAATAGGATTGATTTCAACTTTGCTTCTTCTTTAGGTCCATGCTTATATCATCAGCTACCTGAAGAAAGAAATGCCATCAGTATTTGGAAAAGAGAACAAGAAGAAGGAACTGATCAGCAGGTTACCAGAGATCTATACCCAACTGCAAAGAGAATACCATATCTCAGCAGGAGATTTCCCTGAGGTCCAGAAAATGCAGGTAAAACTGTCAGAGTACAGATCTGCTGAAATGATACTGACTTTCCATGGGGATAGTTTTGGAGACTTCAGCTAAATGGTAGAACAGCAGCAGAACTGTTGTGTGTTAGGGAGTTAGCATGACTTCAGAAGTACTGCAAAATGAAAGCAATTGATAATGACCTTAGAGTGTAAACTTATTGTTACAAGACTGTAGGAAATGCCATAAGGAGTTAGACCTTCTGCCTTTGTAGTCAATATTTTGTATTGTAGGGCACATAGTAATGAATGTTTCAGAAGACTATAATAGATGGCAGTGGATGCTTATGTTCGTCTCAAAAAAGCAGTATCTGGCCCTTGACTTTCAATAACTTAATACTTATCTCCACTACTTGAAATGCAAGGTGATACTTGTTTCTTGTCCTAAATGCAGGACAATTTATATCTCTCTTAAAATGTTATCAGATATTTATGTAGGTAAAAATATACTTAGACACTCATTATTCATCTTGATACTATGGGCCAGTGAGTCACAAAGGCAAAGTGTTACCTGGAAAGTGCAACTTAGAACTTTCACTTTTGAAAATGTTGCCCTCCATTGTTTTTCCTGTCCTTTTGAGCTTGTATTCTGTGAAAAACAAAAATTTCTAACTTCTAACTTTCTAAAAACTTCTAACAATTCATATGTGGTGTATTCATGCTGGTGATCAGAAAGAGCAATGACTGGCTTTTTCATTAACAAGGATCCTACAAGGATGCATAAGTTTTTCTTATGATTTAAAATATTTAATTTAGGAATCTTTTTGTTTTGTTTTGTTTTGTTTTGCATGAGTCAGTCAGTCGTAGATGAAACATAAGATCTATTTCAGTTAGGTATTCACAGCAGCAGAATTTTTGAGGAAAGATATAATAAAGTTAGATTTTAAAAAGAAACTTGTGTGAAAAAACTGACTTTCTTCCTGTACCACTTCTGTTGGTGTTAAGAAATAGCAGAATGAGAAGCTGTCATGTGTCCATCTGGGCATTTAAACAAACTTTTAAATGGAACTTTATCATACTACTAGTGTGTGTGTGTCAGCCTTAGCAGCAGATGGCAGCAGATATATAGATGAGCGATCAGTCACTTCTGTGATGAGGAAGGAAATTGTGAGAAAACAGCAGGTTTGACCTTTGCTTTTTAAAACCCATTACATGTCATAAACCTATACTGATCAGTTGCAATAAATCAGGTGACTGAGCATAAACTTTAGCCGAACAGAGTGGTTGTTCGTGAGTTTTTCTCTCGAAGATATCCAAAGGGCTTTGCACAAGGAGGCAGTTGAGTGCCTGTCACTTCTGTGTGCATTAACAAGGAAGCAGTTTGCCTGTACTTCAGGTTTCTTGGGTTGGTATCACTGTAGTTCAGTTGAGTCACAGAACAGCTCCCAAAGGAAGCGAGATTTGTCAAAGCAATTTAACACCATTTTGACAGATGTTTTGCCATTTTACAGTTTCCACTGTTGCATCTTTTATAGAGAAATCTAGACTGCAGAATATACCATTATATGCCATAATATGACCATAATATACCCAGCAAGGACAAAAAGTAGGATGTTAATTAAAATCAGCTATTGTTACAGCTAGGGAGGCTCTACTGTTTAATCTGTTTGTTTTTGATTGAGATGAGCCTTCTCTAGTGATTGAAGGCATTCAAATGGTAAAGTAGTATGTTTCAGGGGCTGAGACACGGTCTGCAGACACAAACGTAATTCAAACTAAGGTTTGCAGGTTTTTAGATGGTTTTTAGTTATAATTGCATGAATGTTCATTGATAAACAGAGATAGCTTTGATAAACAATAGTAGCTAGTATAAGTTAGATTATATTATAAGCTTTAATAAGAACTGATAGGCTGCTTTTTGTATCAGTGAGTGATCACTTTTAGACAACAGACTGTTGGTAGACTTGCTGTAATCTCAAAAGGATGAAAACCTTTCATGGCAAAAATTGCACACACACGCACACCCATACTTGCAAAGCTTCATCAGTGTCATTGTCGCATGATGGTTGCAAAAGTGACAACTGATTAAATAAAATCCAGTAACTGCCTAAATACTTCTCAGTTTTGCTGTTCTCTGATATAGAACATGTTCAGATTTTTGTTGAAATAGCACATCTTGCCTGGTAAAAAATCTCATTGAAGTTAGTTGGAGATCATGTCCAAAATGAAAACTCAGCCACAACTGCAACACTGCATGAATTACAGCAGCACTTTCATAAAAATGCTGCTCCTCTAACCCCAACAGAGTAAGGTGTTGTTTTTTAAAAATTATTTTATTTTATTTTTCTTGACCACAAACAAGAAGTTTTATTTATAAAATCAGATTGGTCATGCCAATACATGGATTTGTTTAACCTTAAACTTTTTCATAAGCTGGACTGAGGCCCTGCTTGCATGCTGCTTTTGATACTTCGGAAAAAACAGAGGAGCTCATACATTGTTGCAAAACTGTCTCAATTTTATTTGAATACTATATTAGGTATATGATAGGAATTTTTTATGTCCACCTTTCTTCTAAGAAGAGTTTTGAGGTTTAGTTGTGGGAACTGCTTCAAAAGAGACAGATCACTGTCATTTAAAGCCCATTCCTTAACAACTTTTTCAGTATAATCAAGTTTTTTCTTACTGTACTGCCATTGAAACCTTTAGTAGATTTTTTGCTAATTTGTATATTTGTCATTGACAGGAGCTGCTGGAGAATTGTGACTTCACTAAATTTCACTCTTTGAAACCAAAGCTAATTGAAGCTGTGGATAATATGCTGGCCAATAAAATTGCCTCCCTGATGAGCCTAATCAGACAGGAAGAGAGCAATATGCCCACCCAAATGGTGCATGGTGGGGCATTTGATGGAACCATGGCAGGACCCTTTGGCCATGGATATGGAGAAGGTGCCAAGGAAGGAGCTGATGAAGAGGAATGGGTTGTTGCCAAAGATAAACCAGCTTATGATGAGATTTTCTACACTCTGTCACCAATCAATGGGAAAATATCTGGGATCAGTGCAAAGAAGGAGATGGTGACTTCCAAACTGCCTAACAGTGTCTTGGGGAAGATCTGGAAACTTGCTGACTGTGATGGCGATGGAATGTTGGATGATGAAGAGTTTGCATTGGCAAAGCATCTCATCAAGATTAAACTGGATGGATATGAACTGCCTGGTACATTACCTCCCCATCTGGTGCCACCATCCCACAGGAAACCTCTGCAGATAGCAGAGTGATAATTCTGGGGAGAAGAATAGGAATTTGGGATATCAAATGTGTTTAACCCACCAAAGCTGGAAATTAGGCTTAGATCCTTAAACACATTCCACGCAAGTTGCTGACATTAGAAGCAAAGTAGCAGGAAAACATTTGTGTAAAACTTGCTGCTGACCTTCACGGAGACATGCTTATGACAAGTGCCTTGTATAGATTTATCACAATGTGTGATGTAAGGTGAAAAGGTTTTCATAGTCTTGCTTCCATGTTGTTGCCTCTACAGCCATAGAGCAAAAAAGATCATTGATAAAGTCACCAACCTTCAGCAATCCTAACTGCTTAGCAGCTACTCTTCAGACTTTTTAGTAAGTGCAAGGAAGCTCTAAACACAAATTCACCTGCCTATGCAAGGAACATGTTTATGCTAAAAGCATGCTCTAGGCATTTGAGTGAATGTCAGCATTTGTGTAGTTTAAGATATGGCAGACCTACAAATAAACCTAAATTTTTAGGTTTTTTTTTTTTCTTTTTTAGTTTTGGGAAAAGTTTTGGTCTTTAGAGAAAGAGAAGGAGGGGTCTTTTAAGAAGTATTCTGAATACATGAGCAGATCTGGTTTTAGACTTCAGTTATGGTTAAAACTGCAAAATGACTGAATCTGTCATCACTGTGTCCTGTTATAATCTGAAGTACTGTTTCTTCTATCCTGTACAGCACTAAGTATTCAGTATTCATATTCTTGGTTAGAAGAACTGAATCAGCTTTCTTCCTTGAATTTTGAGTTTCTTTTCAGGTTTCAGGTTAGCTGCTCTGCAGACCATGCATTCTGGATTTGTTCAGATTGATGGCAGAGTCTTTTTGTAAACTAAAAGTCATATGTTTCTATTGATATAAAGCCTCACTTTCTCTTCCAGTAGGTTGCACTGTGCACAGTCAGCTTGTTCAATTTGAGTTGTCTTGGGAATTTTTCATGAGTTAATTTCTAATTACAACTAATTATACCGGTATCTCTATATATGTTTTATGCATATATACACATACTATAGATATATTAGAAAATTTAACCATTTCTGTTAAGAGCATGTAGCTGTCAAATATAGATGAGTTATTTCATTCCTATGGTGGCAGATTTGAAGAATGGGGCAAGTAATAGGAATCTTAGATAAGTAAGTGTTCCCTGCAAAGGTCATTCCTTTATTCCAAATAATCCAAGGAATGGATGCTTACAAAACTTTCTAACCACACAGTCAAAATGCTGAGCGCATTAGCTGCTTACAGCTGCTTTCAAAGAGTATCCCAGAAGAAGGCAGATTTTTGGGGAGTCTTTTTGGGATGGCCAGTTCTTTTCTGAAATCGATACTGGCAGTCGGTCTCGGCCTATGCATATGAGCAAGAATTGATTTGTACTCCATTTGTAATATAAAATACCCTACATATCCAATGTACTGTAACTTTGAGCACTTTTTCTCTTAGTCTCAGTAAGTGGTGCCTTCTGGGTCAGAGAAAGCCAAAAAGTGTGTTCTCATTCTTGCAGTGAAGGTGGAGAGGGAAGAATTTTGAAGTATTTTCTCTAACTTAAGATTTACACATTTACATGTTTAGATTTGTAAGTAATCCAAGAGTCTAGCTTTTTCTTCAAATTATGTATTTGTAGGTTATCAAGCTGGTTTCATACTTAAGATCTTTCCAGACCCCTTATCTTTCTGCATCTTGTCTATTCCAATGTGAAATTATGAACTTTGCCAAGGCTCTGCCATGTAAAAAAATGAAGTTTTTTTTAATGATAGGAAGAACTTCTTTACGTTGCCAGATTTGCAGGCCTAGCATATTTGATTATTCTTGAGGGCTTGATTGTTTTTCATTATTATTCTTTCTTTTTCACCTGTCACCCAAATATTTCTCTTTGATCTAAATTAGGAATAAAGTCTGCCATAGTGCATCTCTGTGCACCTTAACAGTTTTGAAACTTGACCATATGTCTACCTGTGTGACTGTATGTCTGCAGTGTGATTCCTTATGTAATTTATGCTAAGTATGCAAGACGTGTTTCTGACTGAAAAAAATATAGATATTGGGGCGTTTAAAAAAATGCACAAGCATTAATGTATACTTGCTCATGTGTGTAGTGTCTGCAGTCAGAGACAGACTCGTGCACTAATGACCAGCCTGACTAGCGTTGCAAGGAAAGTTGCCAGGAGACAGAGCAAGCTGGGGTATTGAGGCCACTGTAGCGCAGTGAGAGGATCTGGGACGCTGTAGCCTGCCTTGCCTGGCCCTCCAGCTGCCTGGGATTCCTACGTGGATGCGTGTTCGGAATTACTACTGTGCAGCTGCCAGGGGTGATGCTCTAAACACACTGGAGCTGCGTGACCCCCTGCCAGCACAAACGTCCTTCTGCAGTGAAGAGAGAAGGATAGTTTCTCAGTGACTAATTTATTTTTCTAGCTTCATTGGCAGTAAAATGGAGAACACGGCCTTTTTCTCTTCTTCCTCTCCCTCCCCCCCACCTCCAAATCCGTGTTCTAATTTGGAACTAGGGAGATGATTTTAAATGCATCATTTTGATAAGTTAAAACATTTTGTCCAGGTATGTTTAACATATATATATTTTGTTTTGTTTATTTGTTTTCCTGTAAGACTTGAGGAGGAGAAGTAGAAGAGGAATGCACAAAGCATATATAGGAGTAGAGATGGACTCACTCTGTTCCTGTGGGGAAATACAGATGTTTCAGGACCAGCATACAAAGCTAAGTGCATAAATGTGTTTCTAGATATGTGGTGCAGTACACTGGCATCTTAACAGAGCTCATACTTACTTGAGAGTAGTTCAAGTACATTTCATGTAGTCTTTAAGCCATGGTTTCTTAGGCAGCTAAATCAATCAGTTAGCTACACGAGCCACGCACAAGTTTGGATATTGTCCTGCTGAGTTAGCAAGTTAAATAAAATCATGGAGTAAGCTCAATGCTTTGGAACTAAGAGGAGGAGAGAATAGCTTTGCCTTCTGTCAGGAAACTGTGCTTCAGGCAGTTACCGTGATCAACAGTATGATGTAACCTTTGTTGTTCACTTCAGTGTTGTTACTGATCTCTGCTCAGGAAAGACCAAGGTCTTGGGTTTTATGCCTGGGGCTTTGATTGGATTTGCTTCAAGAACATTCAGAACTGGCAATTTTGTTCTATAAAATCAGTGCTGTATGGTGATGTCCACTGCCTTAAGCCAGAATACAGACTGCTGCTTTTCACCACTTTCCCAGCTATTCTACAGCACAGTTTTTATTTCCCAACTGATTCTGTTCCCACATAAATTAATTGGACTTTTGTTACAGATTTTAGCAGAAGACACAGGGGCCCAGTTCCTAACCACACTACCAGACAAGTGAAAGAAGTTAAAGCTGTGACTATTTGAAAATGGTGAGGCTAGAAAGTTTTTTAGGTCAGGTTGAGATCCCAGATGTTGGAGTGAGTCAGGGATGCAATGGATTTGTACTCCCAGAAACTTCTGTGGCACTTCGTCTCAAAAAAGCAGTATCTGGCCCTTGACTTTCAATAACTTAATACTTATCTCCACTACTTGAAATGCACCTTCTTTCTCCCTTCCCTTCATAAGATGCACTCAATTTGGTGGCTCTTTTCACTGTTGGAACTCAAGCAGAGAATTTGAAGTGTATGCTTAATTGGATGTTTGTAGCACTGAGAAGATTGACATAGACTTTGTTTTCTACTTCAATGCTCACTTTTTCTAATACTTTTGTTAAATATTGTATTTTCACTTCAGAGGCACTCTTTCATTTCTGAGGGAATGTTTCACCTGTGTGGTGTTCTTGAGTTTGTCCAACTAAGCAAACAAAGTTGTAAGCTCATTACTGTTGCACTTTGATTACACAATAAATTCCATGCAGGTTCTGTAATATATTTTAATATGCTTTGTAATCATTTTTAGGAAGCAGTGATAAAAAATGCTGATTTAATAAACTAATATTAAACTACCTGAAACTTTCTTTTGTAAGCTTCTTTTTGAAAGGACATCTTATGGGGAATAGAACTTTGTAATTCTTCAATTTAAGGTTTATTTTGTAATTATGCAATTTAAGGTGTGTTTGTTTTGTAATTTAAGCTGTTTGGCAAGCTGCTTATTTTCCTGCCTCAGTTTGTGTCCATAATAGGTATGACTGTTCCTGTACTGTGTCCACGAACTTGTTGCTGAAATTACTGCCCAGAACATGCTTCACTCCAGAATCTAAATTTATATTAAATATACATACATATAATTTTCTTTTTATAGCAAAAATGAATTCTGAAGTTTACAATGCAAATCCAAGAGTGAAAGATAAATCAGATCTCCTGTGCTGATCAAAAGCTTGAAACTTTTCAAGCTATGAGAGAAACTTATTAACTTCTATGAAAGTATTAATCTTGAAAAAATAACAGATTAAATGGCAGTTTAGCAGAAAGTACTTTATTAATGTTTGCCCTAAAAATTCAAGGGCATCTTCCACACCGTACTATCTACTACTTATAAATAGCTAATGAAGTCAATAGAGCATTCATTCTAATGTGTCTAAATTAATTCCTCCTTCTTTATCTTTTTGCCCTATACATATATACAGTTTCTTTGAAGCATCTCCAAAGATACATCTGTGCAGGATGCTGGAGAACTTGGGTAACACTCCCACAGTTCTCAGATGTAACCTGCTGCCAAGTTAAAAGGCTTTGTGTATAGCAGTGAGTGTTAGCAAGCCATGCATTTTGCCCTTGGTCGTCATTGAGTTGTCACATGAAAAAAAAAATTATTTCACGTGCAAAATGTGCGTCCCTGAGGGCTACGCTACTGTCAAAGTGGAGTGGTTTGTTTGAACTGTTCCTTTTCAAAGTCGAATGGTTTAGGTAAGGCAAGGTTTGGTTTCTTTTGGAGGGAGGGAGGGCGGAGAGAGGCTGGAAGACAGCGTGGTTTGAGTTTTTTGGATAGCATTTTGGACTGAAAATCTTAAAATGTACTGAAGATCTGCTGCACACCACAGTTTATATTTGGACAACAGGAAAAGTTCAAAATATGCTACCCACTTTAAGTTTTGTGATAATTTTAACTTTTAATATTTGACACTCCTGAAGCATGAAATATTTCTCTTTCTGCCTACCATTTTATTTCACCAACTTTTGTTTTTAGCTCCCAGTTTGGTATATTTTCAAGGGTTTTGGACAGGAGCTCCTTTACTCTCAGCTTCTCAGATCCATGGTTCTTTTATTCCTCAAGGAACAGCTGTGAGTGCAGAGCATCCCATATTCCCCTTCAGA